TGTACAATCGAAATGTTTGTTAAGGACGCTGCAGCGATCACGGACCCGCAGGAACGAGAACCAGCCAAGGCACGTCAGACATGAACTGGACATTCTCGCGAACCAGCACACCCTGGGCTACTGACGGAAAGCCCACAAACAGGGCAGAGACAGTAGGCTGCAGAGGTGGGCGACTAGGGACAGTGGAGTCAGTGGGAATGGCAGACGGGTTGACAACAGGCGCAGCCACAGACAGCAGGCGCACCAGCAGACGCAGGCGGAGGCGGATACGCACATGGCACGACAACAACACCCGGAAGGCTTGGCAAAACACTGGCCCTCTATTAGTTATTAGCAGGCACCACAGCAAGGGCCAGAGCATCAGTGTCGGCAGGGACAGAACCAGCAGCAGAAGCAGAGGCAGAGCGGCGGTCCCAGTGCTTGGTAGGCACAGACGGGGGTCAGCCAGGAGTGCAAGGGGCAGCGAATGGCTGCGGAACAACACCAACACAAGCAGGTGAAAGCAACAGCAGCAACAACAACAACAACAACAACAACACCAGCAGCAGCAGCAGCAACAACAACAACAACAACACGAGGCAGACAGACCCATGAGGCGGCAGCTTGGCAGGCAGCATGCGGCGCAGGCAGGCAACGGTTTCAGGCGGGAACGCAACGCAGGCAGATGCGCTGGACGGTTGGTCTGTCTGAGCACCACAGACAGGGCGCATGTACAGGCCACTCGACAGGTGGACAGCGCGTGGCGAAGACGGGCGGCATTCAACCGCAGGCAGGAGAGGTCCAACAGCAACAAAGGCGCCGGCAGAGAAGCGGCAAACAGAGAAGTCAGAGCCAGAACCTCGATGATGACCCTGAATCCTACGCAGCTCTGGGCAGAAGTTAAGTTGGTGCGGCAAGGAAAGGACAATGTACTTAGCAGAATGAACCCCACAGAGGTTGACCTCGGCAGCCAGAGGGGCAGAGGAGTGAGATCTCCAGCGGCGGGCAAGCAAGCCCCGAAGCCAGGTGATCCCCTCATGTCAGAAAGCGCTCCGAAATCAACCAGCAAGGAAGGAAATCACAGTAACGCACCCCCAAGGCATGCCAGCGGCCTTTAAAGACAGCCTTGTCTGCAAGAACAATATAGAGGCTTGGTCCATAAGCTGCACATGGGACGCGAACGAAGTCTTCAACACTGCCAAGAACAACGCCCTGAAGTCATGGATCACAAACCATGCTGGGAGCCGGCCGACATCTCCTCTGCAAAGCCTGGTGAAGCCGTTCTGGCACGATTCCTTCTCAAGCGGAAGGAAAAGGATGGCGAACAAGGCCAACGCCAGAGTCATTTTGCAAGGTTTCAAGCATGTGGACGTCATCTCCCGAAAGTTGGACACCGAGTCGCCTACTCTTTCCAAAGTGGGAAGGCAGCTGACAGACACCTTGGACAAGGACATCCGGTTGCTTGCTCTGCTGAACAGGAACACGCGGAAGAGACTGGCTCGCCTTATGCACCTCAAAGATGACGAGCTCCTTCGCACACTCACGCCCGCCTTCGGTGACGTTGGCGCACCGAAGCAGCGGCACGCCACAGCTGACCGAGTTGGCCGTGACGAGCTCAGCTTTCTGCGACACGTCCTCGACAGGTGTGTCTACATCAGCACTCGCGCGGCCGTCACTGAGGACGACCCCTACGAGAAGGATGGTCACCCCACGGTCGTGGACGGCATTATTGGACTTCACGTCGACGACATTATTGGTGGAGGAGAAGGTGTCAATGGCCGTGGTGATGTTGAATTCAGTGGTCCCGAGAAAGTTGCTTGCTTCAAGGACAGGGCCCAGAGGTTGCCACACCGCTTCAAGTTTGACTTTGACTACAAGCAGATTTTCTGTGGAGCTCAAGTTGAGCAAAGCTTTGAACTGGACGCCGTGGCCCCCTCACTTCAGAAGTATGTTCACAGCATCAAGCCCATCACTCTTGAGAAGTCCAGGAATCCAGGAAGCAAACTCCTGGAGATGCGTTGGAGGAAAAGGAAAAGGCCAAGCTGAGGCCCCTGATCGGGGCATTGGCGTGGCCAGCAACTCAGTGCTTGCCAACGCTGTGCGCTTTTGTTTCCCTTCTTCAAGCTGCGATGGCCAACCCGACCATCAACGATGTTCTCGAGGGCAACAAGGTTCTTCGCTTTGCCAAGGACGCTACCGCCTGGAGCTGAACTTCCATGGGGAGCTCTGACGCAGCGTGGGCGGTCAGACCAGATCCTCCCAAATAGGATATGTTGAGAGTTCGAAGCCTTTCCGACTCACTGTGGTGGATTGGGCTTCCCGGCGTCTGCAGAGGGTCCCTTAGCCGCCGCAACTGCTGTGAGTGGGTGAAAGCATGCTGGCATCTGATGCTAACGCTGACCCCCAGTGTGACAGACTGGAAGCTTTGTTGTGACGGATGCAAAATCCTTGTACGATGCTGCACGCCGGCCTGAAGCTCTCTGCAAGGCGCAGCGCCATCGAACTCCCTGGCACTAACGAGCATCTTAGGGCCATGGAAGGCCACTGGAAGTGGCGCAACTCAGCACAACAGCTGGCAGACAGACTCACCAAGTCTTCACTAAGGACGCTGTGCTTGGAAGCCTTGTGGCCCTCAAGCTAGACGAGGCCATGACCGCGGCCAAGAAAGTTAAGCCAGGAGCCAGGCAAGCCGAAGTGAAGGAGCTGGAGCAAGCTTCTCGAGACCTTTCCCATGAGGGCGCGGCCGTTGTTGCAGCCACTACGACACTGCCGAGAACTGAGGAAGCCACAGCTCCTGAGGCCACCGTCCTCTGCAAACTTCCTGGCTGCTGCAAGGTGGTCCGAATCCCAAGCTGGGACAATGCTTTTGCTCAAGACGCCACTACCACAAGCACCTTGGTGGAGACAGCGAGCGTGCCCGCGCAGTTCTGGCAGATACTGTGTTGGCCAGCCAGGTCACACCAGCCGATGGTCTGGACGACAACAACGACGTTACCGTGCTCGTTTTCGACCACCGCTGGTTCTTTGCCATCATGATCCTCTTGGCCTTTATCCTGCTGATTTGCCTGTGGGTGTGCCTTGCTCGATGGACTACCTGGCCCTTCTCGGCTACCTCTGCGACCACGTCTACCTCGACGACTTCCGCTACTACAAGCACGAGTACGAGCCCCACGAGCAGGTTTACGAGAGAGGCCCAAGTCCAAGCTCGAGACATGACCAACCCGGAGGCGGAACGTCTTCGCGACGAACTCATTCGCCGCAACGGCGATTACCACCGACTCAGCCTGACAGCAGACCGTTTCCGAGCTTCTGCCGAGACACTCCAGGCTGCCTTGACCGACAGCAACAAGAGAGTACTGGAGCTTGAGCAGCAGGTGAGAGATCTGCAAGCCCAGGCTGTCCCTCAAGGATTCCCGCGAGAGCTCGATGTGACTGCCACTGGACAACGATACCATGCCAATGTCCAGCGCGGGCAAATTCGCGGACGCAGAACTTTGAAGAGGCTTACTCCGTGCGACGACTGCACAAGGTGAAGGCCATTCGAGTTCTCTTCTTTCTGTTCATCATTGAGGGCTTCCCAAGGTTGACTTGTGAGCTCCAGCGACAAGATCCATGTCATGTTCGACGCGACTTTCCCTTTGAGAATCGGGGTGTTGAAGCGTTTAAATTTTCTTACTTTTCCTCCCGTGTCAATGACACACCAGCGCTGCATTGAGCATTTATGTCTAAGACATGTCTTGTGAAACCAGTGCAGGCTGTACATGTGGGAGAAGCATTCTTTCTAACCATTTCCCCTGGAGATTTGTATGCATTCCGCTACCTTCTGCTCCAAGGGACCCTCTTGAGTCGCAGGCATCGACATCGCCGCATGGAAAAGCATTGATCGAGTTCTTTCAGCTGACTTCGTGTGCAGTGCCCTGGTGGCATCTTGATAGGGGTGCTACCGTGACAGACAGGCTTGACCCGCGTTGTTTCGGTGCAGCCAGGCACGGGGGCCCCTAGAGTAGTATGCTATCTATGCCTTGGCAGGGGTTTCGATTCTATGGGAGCACTACGCACAATAGTATCAACGGTATATCGACGGTAGTCACACTCGTCATATAGCAGTCAACGTGGAAGGAAGCATAAATTCATAAAGTTTCATGGAGTCACAATCGCGAAAGTATCAGCAGCAAAGACAAGAGAAATGACCATTAGACAGGGGACCGAACGACACAGAGACCACAACCGGGAGACGAGGGGACCAAAGGACCAGGAGACTGAAAGACCGTGAAGGCCAAATGAAGGGGACCAAAAGATCAAGATGTCAACTAAAAAAGGTCCCTACTAAACAGGCTTCTCGCTTCCAGGTGTTGGCATTTGAGGTTCAGGTCCTCAGTCTGCTTCTTCTCTTCCTGCTGACAAGCCTTCCCCCCGTTGGCAGCCTGCAAAGTCTTCAATCCCCTCGATCAACAGCCTGTCGAAAAGATGGCCCGGCTGCTGAGGAATGGACCTCCGTTTTGACTGTTCTGGTCCTGTCCAGGCAGGTTTCTTGCTGTGGAAAAACTTCCCAAGCCGAGCTGTTGTCCACTAAACCTCGTACTGCCTGCTGCGATGTTGGATTTGAAGGCTGCGTGCCCTGGCAGAAGACAGCAGCGGCGTGCCTCTTTCGTGCTCCACCCCCACAGGTTTCGCTGCACGCGGTCCACTTCTCCCAATCCTTGCAAGTTTCATGCCCCATCTCTACTCCCTTGCAGCAGACTCTTGCACAAAGCTGAGCTTTGAGCATTGTACTCACAGTCCTTGCCAAATAAGCGAGTAGCGCGACAAGCTAAGCAATCTGTCAGCTGCAGCGCTCCTGCACTGCTTCCTCCTCTCCATCCTCTGCCTCTTCTTCCTCTTCATCGCCTGCTTCCTCCCTGGATTCTGCGTCTTCCTCCTCCTGATCCTCTTCATCGTCAGCTTTGCTGGCGGCGGTGGTGGTGCTGCTGCTGCTGCTGCTGCTGCCACCATCAGTCTCAGTGGTGGTGCTTGTGCTGCTGCTGCCGCTCCTTTTGATCAGCCCTGCCTCCTTTGCAGCACAGCAATCTGTCTCCAGGTAACGCACAGCGGGCGAATGTTAGCCGCGTGCCTCCGCGGCCCTGACCGTATGCGTTGAGAGCCCTCTGACAGAGATGCCTCCAAATCAAAGCATTATGCAGACAGTTAGACCAGAATCCTTCAGCGACAAAGCCTTTGGCATGGCCCCTTTCGTCCTTTTTGGACCTCAGAGTGCTGCTTCAAGGAGTGCAGGTCTGCGAGGAACGCGTAGCAAAACACACCAAGGAACTGCTGCATGTGGCCACGCTGCTGCACGCTCCCGACCTGGCACAGCTGACATCACTGAGAAGTCTCCTTTTCTAGATACGTAGTCTTCTTTCTATGAAAGCAGGTCTTCAATTCAGATATGTTGCATATCAACACGAATGTGTGGAAGGCACTGCTTGCGGGCAAGTACCCTTCCACGTGGAATCGAAGTTATACCCTCCGGGAGTCGAACACTTGCCAAACAGAAGATGAACGTTGGGGTGCCAGGTGGATTCCTGATATATTCACTGATCATACCTGCCTTCCCTGCATCAAGCAGCTGGCACAAGTGCGGTCAGAAGTTGCATGACTCCAAATGAGCGACGGTCAACACTCGTTACATCTGGAAATAGACGCCAAATTGGGGGTGTCGCTTTTCAATGTTCCTCTCGCTTTACAAGGTTTTGGATTCAAACTGCGATCGTGTGATGTTCAGGGTGTCCCTTTTTTAAGTTTCCATCGCTTTACAGAGCTTTCGCCTGACAACTCCGGGGTGTCGCGTTTCAATGTTCACGTCGCTTTACAGGGATTTTGCTTCCCATGTCCGCTACAGACATAACTCCTTACGAACGAGTATTGACTGTGGCTCAAATGTGCCCTCCGCCACCTCTGACAAGCGTCTCAACGCCAAAATACGCCTGCAACTCGACGGAGACAGCATATCTACTTCGAAAGGCATCCACCATCCTAGCTCCGAAACGGCAGCAAATTGGGCTGCCCACCCATATCCCCTAATTAACAAATCAGCAGGGCCGGGCTTCAAACGAAAGCTCTCTAGAGCAGTCGTAACGAGCGCGAACAGCAGTTTACTCGACTCCACGGCCACTACCTGCACAAGCCTTCGTTGACTGTGGCTTGGCAATGTATGCCGGTTGACGCACATAGGCACCATGTGTGAGGTGCACCAAAGAGGGCTATGAAGACTTTACACCCCAAGAATGCGACAAGCAACGAGATTGTCAGAAACTTGGGGGGCTTCAAAGAAAGGCCCAAGCGTATCCTCACAAAAACTTGAAGCCTTTTTGTTAACCTCTTCAAAAAGGAACCCTAATATTTTTTGAAGCCTGCGTCTCAGAGAAGGCTTCCTGGCCCTTGTTATATGATACTGATGCTGCTCTTGATACACAAAAAGAAAACGTCTGTGGACATGCCAGAAATGCCTCCCCACGACCATCTACGTCAGCACCTGATACAAAACGGTAACAAAGCTCGTCTGCATTCAACACAAATGCCTGGCCTCGTTTTCTGTGATGCTGCCTCCGCTTGTGAGAACGCTCGCCCTCGTACCTGCATACGTGCAAAGTCTGTCTGCTCGAAAGACGCTCCCGGCCAACTGATGGTACATCAATCGAGGGGGGCACTCGTGTGAACTGCTATAGCGACGACCCTCGCTGGCTCTGACCGGCATCTGGCAGGTTGCGTTACTAGTAGCACAATCAATATCAATAAGCCATAACCATAGCAGCCCATAGCAGCGGCGGCAGCAGCAGCAGCAGCAGCAGCAGCCGCAGCCTGAGGAGGAGTAGTAGTAGTAGTAGTAGTAGGGACCGCCGCGTCATAGCCCC